GCACCTTTGGGTTCCTTGGCACTTGAGAGATATGATGCATAGCTTTCTCTTTTTCTAGGAAGTGAGACAGCCCTGCAGTAGGTTTATCTGTGTTTTTTTTGACTGTTTCATGAAATTAGTTTTGTAAGAGCTAGTCTTAATTTATATAACAATAGTGTCCTACAATGTCTTTAGCGGTCATAGTTTGAAAATAAAATCTTAACATTTCCATTATGTTCTGCTGACACCTCTGTTGGCAGCTGGATATGACCACATAGCCGTAAGTTGACCCTACAAGGTGGAGGGCCAAAAATCATACAATTGTAAAGAGTAGCCATGTTTTTTACCCCATAGTTCAGTGCAATTATGTAATAAAATTATTTGTTATGCTTATAATTAACAAATGATCAATGAGAACTAAAAAGTGCATCTGGGTTATCGATGCCCGTAGTTGAACCATGACTGGTGTAAGAGCTCGAGTAGTAATTGAAAAAATTCCCAAACTGATAGTGATAACCAGGGATGGCAGATTAAGGTGGTTGAAGCTATTAAGAGGGGCTGATGTGCTAAGATTGTTCATTCTCCTTTATTAAGGCATGTATGATTAATATGTTGTACGTAGTGGTTAGTCTAAAGAAACATGGGTTCCTTTCAGGTAGAAATGGAAAGTTATGAAGATTATCAATAGGTTTTTTTTCCTTAATGTCTTTTATATAATACTATTTAGCATGACTAAACGAGGAGTGGCCTTGCGTAGAAACTCTATCAATATTAGCTTCATTGTTTTATATTTCAGGCCATGAATAGCTTGTAGGCTATTTTTTATAGCATGCCATTGTGAATTGAGACTAGATTGGGTCTGATTCTAAGCTGTAGAAGTATTGCTTTGTTTCTTAAAAATGCCCAGGTGGAAAAGAAACTGATTGTACAGAAACTGAAATTTAGAATAGGAAGGTCCCAGTGCTGCAAGTTCAGTCCCTTTACTCAAACTATAATTTCTATACCGAATTAGTTTCAGAATTACGTTAACACAAGTTGAAGAGAAAATAGTTTCTTGGGGGTTCAGTATTGTCATACCTGGGCAATGACACATTTATCAACTACGTATATTTCAAACTCCTGAATGTGACTTTGCATTGCCAGGTTATAAAATATATCTTGTTAAGCTTAGCATATTATTAAAGCAAACTTGCAAAACTGTAGAAGTGAGCCGGTGTAAATAACCTTTAATTTTCTCATTTTGCTGAGAGCTACCAGAAAATCTAAAGCGGATGATTGCTTTGTTTCTTTTTCTTTTCTCATTTTGCCTTATTGAAACCATAGCTAGCTATAAACCTGTGATTGGGCTAGACTGTTTAAAAGAATGAAAGATGTGATTTGAACTAATATTTCATTCCCAAGTTTTGATTTCCAAAATGCCTGCTGCCTGAATCCGGGTATTCAAGCAGTCAGAGTAATTAGAGGACCAGCATCCATGTAGCTGTTTATGTCTTCCCACCTCCTTTTCTAATAGAACTGGATAGTTTGTTGTGGCTATGCTTCCTCTCTCTTTTGTCCCTTCGGTGATACATCGACTTATTCCTCTTCATTGTTGCTTGGCTTTCATGTTAGATATTGACCTCGGAATCTGTTGATGGAGCACTGTCTCCACTTTATTCCTTTTTTGCCTGTTATTAAACTCACTGATTCTTTAGCATCCTTGGAAAAACATTATGTGCCCACTTTGCTAATAGCTACTCCTCTGCTTGCACTGACACAATTTTTGGGTATTACTGCTGATGTTGAGTCCAATCTGGATGTCTTATGTGCGCTGCCTCAGCCAAATATTACATGGCCAAATGAGCCCTTATTGCACACTCTCCAGTGAGGTCTTCATGTGGTAATTTTTGTTGTTGTTCCCTATATATTTTACTTCTTTTGATTGTTTATTGGGAGCAAGGCTGGGGGTTGTTACTGTGACTTTTATTTACATATCCTTGTTTATTTCTTTCCAATGGTACCAATCTTGTATTCACAGTTTGCACTTTTTGTACTTCAATAAACACTCAAAACCAATAATAAATTTTGATGTGCTTCTCAATTTGTTATTATAAGACTAGTTATTAAGAGATGCTTTTTAATAATAGGCACCCCCAATTGACTCCTATATTGTCAAGCATTGACTGGTTAAGTCAATACTTGAAAATATAGAAGCTGTTTTTCTTTTATTCTTAAATCCATTGTGTTGGTTGGATCCAGCACAATGTCCCTATTAAGTATAAATCAATGCTTGTTAGATATCATGCAGTCCATTTTATCTAGTTACTCCAACTCTACTATGGCTGTTTTAATTAATTAGTTGCTTTCAGATCTGGAGTAATGTTACTACAATCCAAATGTTTGTATGTATCTTCACTATAACTGAAGAGGAATTAATTTGAAATTAGGATCTTATTGATGGCTAACCTATCTAGAACAGGCTCTTGCTACTTTTACCTTTTCTAGGTAATGATCTCACTAACTCTTGAAAAGAAAGCTACAAAGCATCCAACTTGTGAAGATAAAGTTTGATCCTATGTGAAGTACATATGTTCCTTTGAGGGGAGGGCATATTTGCTAGCCAGGAGTGTGGACTATTATAAAAACTAGAACAATGTCAACGATGAGAACCATAAACTTCTTCTGCCCTAGCTTTTATCTAAATTTACAGCTAAATGTATCAAATATGAATATAATCATATTGCTCTTTGGAATAAAAATGAAAATATTTATGGTGATTGGAAAATGAAAGGAATGATATATTAAAAGTAAACAGGAAAAGGAATATTTTTTTTAAAAAGTGTTAATTTTGGCTTTCACTCTAAGAAAACAACAGGTTGTGTTATAATTGACTAATAACATGATGTGTCTCATTGAAATTAGTAAGGTAACGGGAGGAATCACACTATTTTAGTGTGATATATTAATATATTCTACCCATTAATGAACCCTTCTGTTGATATTAGTTAATTTTATATGGAATTCAAGATAACACTTCAAAAATTCAAAAGTAAGGGGCTGAATTCTGATTCTAGTACTATAATAACTTTTAAAAGGTTAAATGTTTTTTATCAAATAAAAAAATAGAAACTTCTTGTAAAATTTTCATGAACTATCAAATAGAAGCTTTTTAAAAACCGGAACATTCTTTTAGGATTTGGATATAGTCCTTCAGAGCAGAGAAATGCATCAGGCAAATGTTTATAATATGAGTCACTTTATTTTTTCTAAGTATTTGCTCTCACAACCATTTCAATTTTTTTTTAATTTCCAGAGAATTATTTAACTTTCCATACCAAATGATGAGAACATGGTCCATTATAAATATGGTTACCATGTTTTCTCTTTGGGGGACTGGGAGATTTCAAAGGGTAGAAATTGCTATCCAAATTAACATTTGGTTCCCATGTGACGTATTGAGATCATACCAGGATTTTTGTTTATGGAAATTACAGCTGCAAAAGCATTTTTCTTCCTTATAACTGAATATGAACTTAAACTGATATTAAGTCTTCTCTGGAAATACAAAGGCAAAGGTGTCCAACCCATCATCCATAGATTGCATGCAACTGCAATGTACTATATGGAGGGTCAAGGGATGATTTAACTCTCTTTATTTACCCATGAGAACTAAACACCAACTTTGCAGAAGCAAAATACATTCATTTTGCCCCTCAACATCTCCCCATTTGAGCTGGGTAGCATGGGATGGAGAGGAAGATGTCACATGGGGGGGGGGGGGAAATGAAAGGTGCTTTTTTTCATTACCCAAAGTCACTTATCAGAAAGTCTTTTTTACCCAAGGTAGGTTAAACACTTTTAGTCCAATAAATGTCGGACCTAATCACCTGTTGTGATTAGGTAAAGGATTTGTATGTTGTTATCCAGAGAAAGACCACTTTTACCCAATTTTGAGTAGTTTACCAGGTTTGCGAAGCACTGGCTTAAGGCATCCATTTAATCCTAAAGCAAAGTTTGGCCTTGCCTACAAATGTTACTAGCTCATAGTATCCAACACACCCGCATTTAAGGTTTTAGCATTTGCATGACTACACCCTGGTACGTAACTGCTTCTTAATGTGTTTGTGATAGCTCTTGAGTTACATGCATTCTGTGAACTATATATGGAAGCTAATTTCTGAGCTTTAATATGTCATCAATTTATTGTACAAATGCTGTACATGCAGCGATTTCATTTACCCAGCCTTACCATAATGTTTCTGTACATAATATTGTATTTTCCTTGGAATTTAAATTGCACATATTTCTAGTATGGAAAAAATGAGACACTTTTATAGCATATATATTTATTAATGTAGTTATATAAATGATTAAAAAAATAAATCACATCAAAAGATTCTTGCCAACCTGAAATGAACCTCTGATAGCATAATTAAATCAGCCTATCTCCATTTCTGTGGAAGTATAAAAGTTCTTATTGATGTAATTATTGACAAATCTAGGCCTCTATTGCAGGTTTATTAGTTATATTTACAGTATGTATGTACTTACAAGTACATACACTGCTACCTATCACTCTAGAAGGCTTTTGAGTACGTTTCCTGTTCTAAAGGGCACTTCTAGTCTTTCATGAAGATAACAGCAAATGTCTATAGATTGCTTTTGAAATATTTGAATTATTTTTTCTCGAGTATTAATACTCTAGAATCAGCAGTATAATTCATCAAATTTCTACTATTTCATTCAGCTGCAAGAGTGTGAACAAGGTGGATGTCACCTTACCAAATTACTTGTGTTTCATAGCTGATCTATGTGTGTGTGTCTGCTTCTCATACAATCATGTGCATTCATACTTGAAATTCTTACTGAATCTGGAGAGGCATATTTCTGAAAAAAATGTTGGGAAAGGTGATATGAAAATGGCAATTCTAAAAAGAGTAGCCGAAGAGTTAGATGTTTGGCGGCTTTAACAGGAGGATAGCTGTTTGTTTTGCTTTGCCAAAATCTGAAGTTTTGGTAGAAAAGACAGTGGAACAGATGAATTTAAAGTAGCATAAAAGTTTTATTGGAAATTGTATGAATATGTGTAGTGGAATATTTTGAATAGTGTTTCCAAATAAATGCAGGGGAAGAACCTTCTTCCTTCAATTGGTGCCCTTGAATGTTGCCTGTTATGTATAAATTCTGATTCATAGCCCTGTAATGCAAGTACATAGACAGAAATGTATCCTTTGAAGATCTATAACTGGATCCCTGACGAGGATTTATGTGGGATAGTAAATTGATGTTTGATTGATATTTCGGCAGAACCAATGTGATTTGCTTCAAAGAATAAATAAAGAACCCAGACTCAGACAACAGCATCTGATCATATTATATAAGCATACTTTTTGCTGTTTCCCACCCCTGCAAGGACCCCAATTCTGTGAAGTTTTCAAAGGGTTATTCTGTTGATAGAATATCAGAATCATGCCAATGAATACAATCCAGTACATATTTCAGTGTACGAAAAACACTGAACAGGAAATGAATATCAACATGAGTAACTTGTAATTCTATTCAAAGATATTGAAATTATATTATCTATATAGTTTTGAACTATGAGAATAAATATACAAGTAGTTCTCAAAATACGACCAGTTGGGACAAAAAATTTGGTCACTAAGCAATACTTTGTTAACAGATTCATCAAGTGACTGGACCCAACTTTATGTCACTTTTAAGCACGGTGTTAAGCAAATTACACAGTAATTTGATGAATCTGCAAGACACTGCAGCCATTGTAAAAGTGAGCCTGTTGTTAAACAACCAAATTGTGATCATGTGACTGCAGTAGCAGTGGTGCGATGGTCACAATTTACAGGATTGGCCTTAATGTCACTTTTTCATAGCTCTGAAATGTCAATAATGAATGTAAGTTGAGGACTACCTATATTTGACTAAATTCCTTTAATCGCCACAGCATTTTACTGTGAAAATGAAGGGGAACCAAAATAAGCATTGTGACTTGAGTGTCAAGGTAAATGTGCAAAAAAATTCTCAGTTTTGGCTGAGAGGTGACTTAGGAACATTAGAAACAGTAGAAACACAGCAATTTCCTTATCGGATATCATCATTTATAAGAATAGGTTCTCCTGTAGTCAATGCTGGAAAAGCCAATCTTCTTTAGACAAATAGATCTACATCATCTGATATCTCATGAATAATAATAAGGAATGCTTTTTTTCTTATATTCATATAATATTTTGATTAAAAAGCTAAAAGGCTCAGGAAACGAAGCCTTATTTTATGCAGATATGACTATGGGTTAGAGCCTCTTTCTGGCAATCAATTTTAAAGTAGTTTGGATGTTTCTATCATTCTGAGCCCCAAAACAAGCACGCACACTCTACTTAAGGAGCAATTTAGGTATGAACTTAGATGTGTATTCTTCAGTGGACCAATAATGATTAACAATATCAGAAGTACTTTGAAAATAAATTTTAAAAGGTACTTTTCAGTCAATTTAAATAAATTTCTTAGTTTGAGCCATTAAGATAAACTACATGCTAGAAGACAAAAGATTTAATTTTCTGCTCATTTCTGCAAAGCAGTAGGGAACAGAAAATTCCAGAGCCTATCTGAAATAATAATCTCTACCCCATCTTAGACCACAAGCAAGCAAAACCTATAAGAACAGAGCACTATAGGAAGTCAACATTCCATTATTTTAACTCTAAATATCCTTCATATGTAAAGGCAATGACCATACAAAAGCATCTAAGATGAAAGACAGAAGGAATGAGAGGATAGGATCTTCTTTCTTCAGTACAGTATATGGCAGTTCAATTCTAAACAGGTTTACTCAAATATATCTTCCTAAAGTTGACGCTTACTCCCATTAAAATATGCATAGAGGTGAATTCTCAGCCTGTTTTTTGACAATGGAAAGAAAGAACTTGTGCCCAGAGCCTAACTTATCCCTAAACTCATATGGATGTCTTTTTCCTTCCTTCCCCCATAGTTGGTGTGGAGCATGGAGCAAAAAGAACATATAGAAATGCCAGTCAATTGCATTACTTAATGCCTAACTCGTTAGAAAAACAACTTTAAACAAAATGTTGCACCATAAAACAAGTACCGTAAATCTCATAAAATGTACTTCTATACCAAGTTACTTTCTAATTCATCGCAGATTACATAAATTTATTTTACAAATATGACAGAGCTCAGCTTTTTAGAACTCTGCAAATTCACTATACCAGAGCACATATCTTAATTGTGACATTTCTAATTGTGACCCCCCAAGAGGGCAGAATGAAATCAAGTCAATCTCTGGGAAGGATAAATTTCCCAGCACAACATGTCTGCTTTTGAAAAAAAAAAAAAAAAGGAAGATGCCCTCATTCATTTTAAGGTTGTTCACAGCACTTTTGCAGTGACAAAGAACAGCAGCTTATGGCTACATAACAATGTGAAAACATAACATACAACTTTTCTTTAAATATAGTTTCCTTTAGAATAATAAATATTTCTTATTTCTCTTAACATAGAGCAGCAGCATCTGTAAAAACTTTGGACTAAAGATCCCTAATTAAGTAATCCTAAAGAATTAGGATCACTAACATATTTACAATTAGCAATTGTAAGAAGACACCATGAACTCTGAACCTTCTTCAAAAGCAACAAGACTTTTTTGTCTAGCCTTATTAGCCTGGCATTATTTTTTTACTCTTGTTGGTGGAAAAATATATGAAAAGCACTTTTTTCCTGCTCTTATGGATTAATTCTCAACTGTGCAGCGGGGGGGAAAACTTCATTCCTTATATCGGCATGCAACTATGCAACACTTTATTTCCATTATTTAGAGCATTAGAAGTGAATTATTATCCCCTGTTGTAAGTATGTGAAACACACTCACTGAAAATAGACTAATTCTGCAGTGTTCAGAATTCAGTGAGCATGGATTATTCTGTTTGTTTTGATCCTTTCAAGTGATGGTTCTATTGAATCAAGTGAAAAAAGATAACAGTTGAGGGAAGCAGAAACAACAGAAAATCATTACAGATGAGAGAATGAAAGCAAAAGTGATCATTTTGTTCTTCATTATACTGCTTCAGATGCCAACTGTAACAAGAAGGAAAATGAATTAATTCACCACAAGGTCAGTTCAAAGTGATTCACATTTGTTCCTGCATCGGACAAAGCCCAGAAAGCAAATGAAAGTGTTGGTGCAACATAACAGGACCCGGAAGGTGCAAAATGTATAGGCCTCCTTTTCCAGAGTGTCAAAAAGGACGTCCAAGGCTGTTCTAACTTGGTTCAATTTCACTGTAAGGTTTCTACAAAAGCATCGAATTCTTTGACGTTCCTCTCGTGAACAGCCAATTTCTCGGGCAGTGAGTCCTGTGGAGAGAGGAAATGTGTTAAGTGACTAAACTGAAATCTGTGGGGAAAAGATGCAGTGCTCAGCAGGAAAGAATGCATGCCCATTCAGAAAGGCCTTTCGTTGACCTGAAAACTTGCACATTTCCTTCAGATGATTGTGAAATGGAAGGTAGAAAGAAATCGGAATTTTCTGCTGCAATATATTTAAATAAGCAAAGATGAGAAAATTTGGCCCAATGGGACTTGAATCTCAGGTATTACATTACACATTTGCCAAGAATAAAATACTTAGTTCACAGAAAACCAGTGACTCTCCGTGGAACCCATCAATATACGTAATAGTATGGTTTTTTTCTAAACTGGAAGAATACATTGCACAACAGAATATAAAAAGCAGCTCCCAAAACCTAGGAAAAACAGATCTACCCACCTAAGCAAAGCACACAACAGCAAAGCATTCACGTAGTACTTCAATCTACTCACCCCTATATAGATCTTGGAAGATATTACTAAAATTATAGCTTGCTTTCCCACAAATAAGCTTCTAAGTGAAATGTTAAGAGTGCAGCTTTCCATATCTGTACTTCTAAAGAGGCTTTTCAAACCCATATAGGGCCCGATAATACAAAGAGAAAATACCAAACAGCAATTAATTGAAAATCAAAAACACTTCTGTACAAGTCAACACAAGACCATGACAGTTAATCTATTATGGATTTTCTGCAGCTGTATTTTCTCGAATTTGTTTTACAGATTTCCTCCAAGACTCAAGGTTAACTAGCTCCCTCCCAAACAATACTGTACAAAAAGTCAGACACTGGAATAGCAAGGAGAGGTGAAGTTAAAACTATGCTATTTCTCACCAAATACATTTCATAATATCAATTATTTTCCAGCATTTAACAAAAGTCAGAGCATTGGGAAAAACTTTCCACAATCAGACAGACAAAAATCCTTGAAACAAAGGAACTAACATGCAAGAAAGCAAAAAAGGACCACACCTTATTTATTTATTGACCAAATAAAGGGCACTGATGTTCTGAATTAGGCTTCAGAATGAAATTCAAACCATCAATGCCCTTTACAGTTTGTTGGAAAACATACTTAAACTTGTATAAAATTTCAAACCTCTGAGAGAAAGAAAATCTTGCATCTATAAAGGTCCCCATGAGCTTGGGATTATACATGTTCCAGGCAGATTTCCAAGCAGTTCTTGCCTTATTTATCTGTCCAGTTTTTAGACATATTTCAACATCTTAAAACAGGATATTTCAGAAATTCCAGCAATAATTTTAAGGAAAGTCAAAACTATTACAAAACCAATTACTCTTAGCCGAACTATCTCATAGTCAATGTGAGGAAAAGGGGAGGGAAGGAGCACTACGTATGTCACCTTGATCTCAGAAGCGAAAGGCAGTATATAAATTAAATTCATACATATAAATACATGCTTGTAAAAACTAACATTTGGACTTCGAAATTCCTGGTTCACAGCTCTGTCTATTTGTCTAACTTACTAATACGCTCTCCAAATTGGAAGTGAAAAGAACTATAGAAATAAATACCCCTTGCAGAATTCTTATGACTTACCAGGTCTTCTGCCATGGATTGAGCTCCAATATCAATGGAGAGGCTGCTGAGTTGAGGAGGATTCTGAAATTCACGATAGAAAGTCCCTAGGTCCATGGGGATAATGTCATCTTTAGAAAATGCTGGCTTCTAGAATTCAAGGGAAAGATTTAAGTCCACTAAGCAACAAAATATAAACTAGATATCATTCTGAACTCTGGCCTGTTGAAAAGAAAATAAGTGAAAATTGTTTAACATGCTGTATGTCAATGTTTCATTTCATGGCACCACTATGTATTAGATTATTAGATTCCATGGAACAAAGAGAAAGAGGAGACATCATAAAAACTGTAAATATAAGGGGCTAGATTGGGAGCAACAAGATCAGGCGGATCCCTAGCAAGATGGAGTTGCTGTTCATCCAGAAATAACTTAATCTCTTAAAAATAACAGTTCCAGTTTTAGCTCTGAATCAGGTCACCCTCCTGGGTTTTTGCATCCTGATTAAAGAACAGACAGAGTGGCAAGGAGAACTTTGGCCAGCTACAGCTGGTATGTCTGTTATGACTTTATCTGGACCAGGAAGCACAGGCAACAGTTAAATGCCTTTATCACAGGGGTGGGATTCAATTTTTTAAACAACTGGTTCTGTGGGCGTGGCTTGGTGGTCATGTGACTGGGTGGGCGTGGCCAACTCATCATCACTCACGTCAAGGAGCACTTCTCCTCACCTGGCCTCTCATGACACTGGAGATGCTGCAACAGTCGTAAGTGTGAAAAACGGTCATAAGTCACTTTTTTCAGTGCCATTGTAACTTTGAATGGTGACTAAATGAACTGTTGCAAGTCAAGGATTACCTGTTCAAAAATACAAAAAGTTTCTTTGCTTGCAAAAAGCTGCCCTAAATGCCATTCATTAGATTAAAAATACCTGCAAGCCAGAGTTACAAATCAGGCAGGGTGCCAGAGCACCTTGAGGAATTAAAATAGTTAAAATGCAATTATAACTATCAGCAGCCAACTCTTGCTCATAAAGTGAAACCCTTCAGCAGAGAGGTCATTTAAGCTCTCCAGAAAGAGCACACCCAGGAAAAGCAATCCTTAAATCCATTTGCACCACTTAAAGATACCAGCTGGTCTCACTCATCTCACAAGATATCCTAAGGAAATCATCCAGATTTAAGGAAAGGTCACATGCCCCCCAGAAAGGCAGTAACAAAAGCAGTGCCAAGCTTGCATCCTGCCTCTTGGAAGTACACCCCAAAAGGACAGTACCAGATACCACTAAAGCAGTGAAGGAAGACCCCCCTCCCCAGATAGAAAAATAAACCATGAGGCAGGAAAAATTCAAACACAATACAAATAATTAAATCACAATAGTAGCTGTTGCTTGTTAAACCAATTACCAGAACAAATAGACAGAAACTAGCCAGATTTCTCAACCCAGTTTCTTTTCAGGAACAGATTTTTTTTTCCTTCCAAACAAAGCTGAGTAGGGAAAATTATCCCATCAATAAACACAGGATTAAACTTCACTAAAAACCAGTTTTAGACCAAAACTCAGAAAGTGTATGTAAAGTCATGTTTGAATGTCAATCTTTCTAGATAGCCAAGAAGAAGTATTTCCAGGAGAGTATTTCCTCCCAACAGCAGTGTAAAAAGCTTAAAACCCTTCCTTCCCCTTTAAGAAAATATCAAGAAGAAAAAAACCTCCTACGGAGACAATAAATCTAGGCGTACTGCCAAGAATGTAATAAGGGTGGAAAAAACCAAAAGGAGATGTCTTCTAACTACCGGTTCTCTGAACTGCTTAGAAAGTTAACAAGGGGTTCTATAGAACTGGTCAGGACCAGTACAATCCCACCCCTGCTTTATCATTGTATAATTAGACTAGTACAATCTATTCCTTGTCCAGCTCCTTTGAAGATGACGTGGAGATAGATAAAGAATACCATGGCAAAATATGCCAGAATAGAGTTAACATTTAATCGACACTTGCTGCAATGGTTGTCAGTGCAGTAGCTTCAACACACAATTTAAAGTATTGGTTATTACCTGTATAGCCCTACTTGGCTTGCTGTTGGGTTACCTTGGAGCCTGCCTTGTCCATAATGATTATTTTTTTCTTCCTATGAGGCCATCAGCAGAAGATCTGCTTTAGATCCTGCCACCATATGAAGTAACAGGTACACAGGTTCAGAGACAGGCCTCGTCAGATACATTATGGGATGGGTTGCCCCCAGGGATTTGATTAGTGCTTTCATTCTTGGCCTTTTGGAAATTTCTAAAATATATTCTTTGAACTGGCCTTCTAGCCATTTTTAATGGTTATTGAAGATGGAAGCTCGCCATCCATTGTGCTGAACTTTGTTTCTATTGAACTTGAGCTTGAAAAGCTTATGAACTGCCCAGTATCGCTTGACTGTGCTAGTATACATGTTTTGTTACATAAATAAAGAAATTTAATTCTCTGCTGCAATAAACCAGTAATTTTCTCTGCCTCTTTTCTTTCTTCTATGTACCATTTTGGGAAACACATAATTGTAGCCTATCATTGTCATATCTAATTCACTTCTATTTGCACAGCTCTATTCACTGTTTCATTGAGTCTTTTAAAAATGAAAATACAACTATTGTATTGCTATAGTTTTTGCTTCAAATAGTAATGTATCAACTATCATTAGATTTCTCTCCCATTCTTATATTTTCATATCTATTAATCTCTTATTAAAATATTTTCCCATATTATTTTTAACTTTCTGAAAGAACAAAATTTGATTATAAGATTAAAAAATATTTTGATTTTGTAACATGTGATGGTTGATTTCTGAATGGTCACATTTTTGTTACAAGTCATCACTGTAGATATTTTCTTTGCTCATAGCAAAATAAAATCTGGATAATGAAATAAACTTTTGGCATTAATTTTTGGTTTGTAAAAATTAGGACAGACAACTTTTACCTCGTTTGGTAATGAATCGTCTGCAAGTAAACCACCAACTTCAGAAAGCATTAAGGACCCCACAGATTCAACAAAAAGACTGGTGTTCCTTGGAAGAAAACTTCCCCCAAATACCAAAGCATGGAGTTTTAAATACTAGTTACTTGTGTAATGTAAAAGGTTGTATGGACTTACAAAATCTATCATAACAAAATCATCATGGATATTCCCACTGCTGCTGCCACTGGAGCCCACTGAGTGTAGGCTCCCTTGTAAGGGAGACTCCGTCTCTGGAGAATCAGGAGGATTTACCTGTTGAAGGAATTCAAAGGTCCAATTAACATAATCAAGTCCTGATGTGCAAAATGAAGCAGAGACAAGAAGTCCTCTTTGCAGACAGAAATTATAGACATGCCTGGCATTCAGGAGGCACAATACTGACAACAATCTTATAGGACTGAGAAAGGTAGGCTGTTCTTACCATGGGATCGTTATCTTCTAGTTCAAAGCTCTTGGGAGCAAACATTTGAAAAGGAATGTCCAAACTGGCCATTGTCACCTAGAGAGGTTCAAAAGAAAAGAATCTCAAATGTCTCCTGACAAATCCTACTGTTTCTGCCAGGATGCAATATACTGGTGCGAATTTTGATGCCTACAGCCCCCAAATTGGTCAGGACAAGTTTAGAAATTAGAGAAAGCCAAATATTGCCAAGTTGTGCAGACTACCACCTGGAATGGCATTTCTCCTGTGTTGTGGGAAAGGACACTCCTTGTGTTTTGCTTCTGAAGCCCTATGCAAACAATGAATTAAAGCAATTACCTGGCTGATGGGCTTGTTGACAAAGGCTCCCACCTTTCGGACAAAGAAGGTGTCCAAGGCATCACGTGGAGAACCACTCTTTCCTTCACTGCTGTTAGATACGGTTTCTGGATCCTCACTGAAAGTTGAAAGAGAAAGAGGGTGTTGTTATGGTTAGTTGTTATTATTACACTAGAGATAAGCCACCACTGGTACAAAGCACTGGATATGAAGTACGTATTTTTCCTAATATCTTTCCTAGTTTTTTTTTACTAAAGTTATATGTAGTACTTACCATAGAATTAAAACTTAGATATTAAAGGTGTTCTGAGCATTTCACCAATAACAAACATTGTTTTTATTTGAAAGTTAAGCTTTATCTTCTAGCATCAGTCTACTCATCACACACACGCACACACACACACACACACACACACACGTTTCCTCAACATTCATTTGACTTGTTCTTATCATCAGCAATACATGTTATGTACTAACAAAACATTTTAAAAATGAGATAGTGAATTTAGGATTAAGACAGCCCCCCCCCCCCCCCCCCCGGAAGTATTTTTTCAAAGAATGAAGAGATAGCCAAAGGGAAATGAGATAAAATCTAAAGGTTTTGTTCCTTTTTGGGCACTTAGTGGCACTGCATAATCAAACAAGAACAAGTTTTAACAATATTGTTGAGAGTTTGAGAATTATGCCATCTTCCCATGAGGATGCTACTTACAGAAAATGTAGGAAAAAAAACTTTTTAAAAAAGAGAAAACAAATTCCTAGAAAAAAAGAACTTCAAAGGATGATGTTAAGCTTTTCCCCCCAAAGCTACTAATCTGCACAACAAATGCAATTCTCAAGCAAATTAATTTTTGGTTTGTAAAAGTCATACATAAGATAGTTAAGGGAAGTTAAATACCTACCTACTAGATGGAGTAACTGCAGAGTAATGGCCTCCATCCGGGGAATTGCCTGTCATTATTTTCTCATGATCTGCCTGGGTGCCATGCATCGGTTGGCTAGGAATCATAGGTACTCCTCCTCCCTCCTTTCCTGGAACTACCAACTAGAAAGTACAAAGATCAAACTTTGTTATTTTTGAAGTCATTTGGGAAAAGAGAGAATGCTCAGTTTTCTTACTTCGGACAGCGCAATTGTTTGTTTTTCAATTAAAGGTAATAGCATTGATGACTTTTTCTGGCTATTATGTAAGAAGCAGTGCACCTTGTTTCTCAAGAACTTGAATGATTTCTACCAATAGGCAAAGAGTGAGGAAGAATTTCAGTCAAATGTATAGGAAAGTATAGAGGGAAAGGAATTAAAGTAGAACTTAATGGAAGGTAACAACTTGAACAATTGAGAGCTGCCTTGAATCCCATGTAGCAGTTTTCATTTTTTTTTTTTTATTTACTTTGGGCCTACTGTCAGGGAACCTTCAAATGGCTTAGCAAGCAGAACTGTTTCCTAAAGTATACCTTAAAAGGAAAATACTTTGCACCAGAGCAACATTTTAATGCGTGTACCTCGTAATAATAATAAATTTTATTCAATGCAGATGGATTTATACCATGGCCCCATTTTCATGGTCATATAAAACTTCAAACTATATCCCACACTGCATTAAATACGACTATAATAGATATGCCTTCCACTTTTCAAGCATTGTGTAAAATAATCCACACTTCTAAAAAGTTAAGCAGAAAAAGGTATGATCAAAGTTCCATACGGTGTTCAGGCTTTGCCAAGGACCCAAGAAGAAATGAAATTCTATCATTCCGAGATGCAAATCGAGAATAATACGTTCAGATGCAATTGATGATATCAGAAAAAAACAGACATTTTCACTTTAGGGCTATGACCCACACACATACATACATACATATACTCCATATTAATACTCTAGGTCTTCACTTTAAAAGAATGCTCATTAAAGTCTTATTTCATGTGAACCCAAAAAGTAATGTTAGTGTTCTTTGTCCAATGCTACTAGCATCATGGGTCCCCCCCCCCCCCAACTATTATCCTATTTTCTTTGCCGATGTGAGATGAATAGAGTAAGTTCAGAAAAAGTGTCAGCTGTCAATGAGATACATTTTAGAGCAGCAAACTTCTGAGAATACCTGATGAGGATGTGTAGCACTCAAGCCGCCAGCAAAGACTACTGGGTAGCCTAAGTCAGCTGATCCAATTCCCAAGGCTGCAGGCTGATAAGAAAGACGAGAGCTGGAGAGCTAAGAAATAGGGGTAGGGAGGAAAAAGAAGAGAAAAGGAAACCCCACAGAGTCTGAATAATGCTTAGATATATAGGAAAGGGAAGGAAATAAAATCAAGATTTGCAAAGTAAAATTGCTAGCCTTATTTCTAATACTTTCTCTCTCACACAAAAAAGATAAGCTGATTTTAATGAAACTTATGACTGACATTTATGATTTTAAGGCCATTTCCCCAAAATTTTCCAAATTAAAGTAATGACCTTCATAGAGTTTGAAAGCTAATGATTAGTATTTAAAATTTTAAATAAAGAAACAATCTGTGCAAATGACAGTAGTTATTGCTGTGACAGAAGCCTAAGAAAAGAATTAATAACATTGTTAGATAATTATCATTCACATGCCCCATTTTATCTCTCATCAAGTATAAAAATCTAAGCAGAAGACCTTTTTGAATTTCAGCTATAAAATGCAAAGTTCTGGTCATCAGAGGAGAAATCTAAGCCCAGACCAAAATTAATATCTGAGACATCTCATTTCACTGCAACTATTAAAATAAGGAAACCCACAAAAGATGTGCCAGAGGACAGAACTGATGCTTTGTTTATATTACATCTCTTACTCTTGACTATCAAGAGTACATATACTGCAGAATCTATGAAAAATAAAGTCTGTAATTAAAACTGTTACACACACACACACACACACACACGCATAAAATATTACACTACACTACCTGATGTAAACATTGTACATGTGATTTCCTTGCTAAGGAAAATATGCCTGTATGTTTATTCATGTGTGTGTGTGTTTGTGTGTAAGTGTTCCATTATCCCAATTAGCATTGTTAGCACTATTAAAACAAATGATAGAAAACCTGTATTCTTTTGGATGCTGTTGGATGGTAAATCCTATACAGGTAATCCTCAACCTACAACAGTTCATTTAGTGACCATTCAGAGTTTACAACGGCACTGAAAAAAGTCACGTGATTACTTATGACCACTGCAGCATCCCCATGGTCACGTGACTTATATTCAGATGCTTGAAAACTGACTCACATTTATGACAGCTGCAGTATCCTGGGGTTATATGATCACCTTTTGCAACCTTCTGACAAGCATAGTTGATGGAGAAACTAGATTCACTTAACAACCACGTTACTAATTTAACAGCTACATTGGTTCAGTTAACAAATGTGCCCAGAAAAGTGGTAAAATGGGGGGCAAAACTCACTTCACAAATTTCTCACTTAGCAATGTAACCTTTGGGCTCAATTGTGGCCATAAATCAAGGACTATCTGTAATCTACAACTCTTAGCCATTTTGGATGTTGATGTTCAACATCAATTGCAGGGCCCTGGGTATCGTCCCTATATAAATGAATCAGATTTGCATTGTCGGAGATTGCTGTAGCAACTAATACAAAGGTGTTCTGCTATTTCTTTTGTTCTTGGAAGATGTTTTTTCAACGACCCATTGAAACCCACAGCAATGAGATTTCTTGAGTTCTAAGTACTTTCATTTCAGCTTCATTTTTAATTTATATTCACCTCTTTATCCAAGCTGCATTCTTGTTATATTTCTTTGAGCTATTCCAAAATTGTGCTTAGAACTACATTGTTTCTTCTTTGTCAGGCGTGAACTAGTTCAGTGCAGTTTCTCCATGGATGAATTGGTAGAAACGTTTCCAATTCAGTTGAAATTTGAGATTCTACCTATAATGTTCAATTCAAGCTTCATATCTGCTGATTTTCTTGGCTGTTGTTATTTGCTACTGAATTATTTCCAGTGCTTTCTTCATCTTCCTTGCTTCGAAGTAATATTCCTTGATCAGGTATTCTTTGGTCATCTTGTCCTCAACTTCTTTTAATTGCTCTGACTTGCTTGCATCTGAACTTAACATACTGATCTTACTTTGCAGCCTGATCTTCCATTTTGGTGGTGTATTGTTTGGCTTTTTTTTTCTTGTTTGTTCATTTTGTATCCAAGGTATTCAGTTACAACTACAGCTGTGCTGTATATTAGTTGGTTTGTTTCTTGCAGTGAGCTGGTGCTTACATTTGATATTGCCGTTATTGGCATCTTTTAATATTCTTTTAATGTTTCTTTGGAACAAGCTTCAGTTGTTCAATAGGCAGCTTTATTCCATTGTTTTTGTGCTGTTCTAGGTGTTCAGTTATTTTTTTTCCCTTTCAATTCCTCTTGTTTTTCAATGAGAGGGCGTTTTTCCCATTCTGTGAAGGTGTCCAGGGTTTGGGAATAAAAATGATTTAATAGCTATGCTAGGAAAGCTATGCTTCCTCTTGTTCTCTGGTTTGCCTCTATAGTCTGAACTACTTCTGGTAAGACTTCAGCTTTTTTGCCTTTGTAGACTTTTGCAGTTCTAATTCTGCTTCTGTGAATACTTTATTTTACATTACAAACCAACATTCATCTTCTAGCCTCTGTTCTGTTATTTCTGATTCTGGATGTTGTTGTTTCCAGAACTGGTACATTCTTTTCAGATATCCTCTTCTTATTGGATTTTATTTGTGATAACAGATCAGTATTTCAGTCTTTGTATACTGGTGATGGGTAAATCATTTTTCTTCCTGTTGTCCTGCAACTGCTGGCCCTTGGTTGCTCAGCCAACAGTCACGATTCCTCTAGTCCATGAACTTCAAGATCTAGCACAGTCCTTGTTGACCAAGGTGACCACCAAATCCATTATGGGTTCCTATACATTCCATCTCACCATATTGCTTATGGGAGAGGCACTACTTATTATGAGATTTTTTAAAACGATTTTTTTAAAAAAAATTGGTCAATGCAAGATGGCACTGAAAATAATGGGCCCCCCCCCCCCCCTGTAGCATTCATTTTGTCAAGGAATACGACTAGCATGATCATCTGCACAACCATACTGTTTCCTTATACTTTCATTAGAGGTATGGGAGTTTTTTGACTTCTGACCATAATGAAGCCTGCTCCATGACTATCTCATTTAATGATCTCCAGCCCTGCTCTCCCCATTGTGATCATTAACAGTGCCTCAAAGGGTGGGGACTTGGGAGGCCCAGAAGTGTGCACTATTTTTGGAGCAGCTACAATTCATGGGCTGAGACACAGGATTTAGGAATACCAAGGGATGGAGTGGCTTGTTTTCCTTTTCCTACTTGATCTCCAGAGCCTTGGAGATCTATAAAAGGTGAGCGATCAGTGATAGAATAGGGATGGGAAGGAGGGGCTGGGACCCCCATAGGATGAGAAGCAGGTCCAAGGCCTGCAGAGTGCTAGGTTTAAAGTCACTGAGCTAGGATTATGGTCACATGACATCTCACTTAACAACCATTTCACTCAACAACCAAGATTCCAACCCCAATTATAAAACAGATATCGTATCTGTATTATGACTGAAATTACAAATGGATCCTCTTAGCAATGGGCTATCTTTTCCTCATCCTCTTGCTATGCTTTTTCCCATACCCAGCAACAAAATTTCAAATAAAGCCTCATATACCATAACTATCAATCAATTCTTAGTGTCTCTTTTCCTTTTTTTGGAAAAGAAAAAAAAATACAGTTATGTGTGGCTGTGACAAAAGCTGGCACCCTCAATAGATTGTTACAAGATTTTTTTTCATCAATATCTCTAAAAATTTTCTTTGAGTCCATGAATTCAAAAACTTTTACAAGCATCTTGCTCAGTAATAAAAATATAAAAGTAATACGGTATCTTTCAATATGATTTTTTTTCTTCAATTTCCTTTCTTTTAGAAAAGGTATTTGGAAACTGAATATATAATGGCAACTTTGTAAATAGGACATACCTAAAGGCCTGTTTCATTTTTGGCCAGCTGGGCTCAACAAGATAAAGTCAAAGCAAAAGTGTTTATTGTTTACTTTTGTTATATATCTTTTAGTATTTAAATTTTTTTGGCCCTATACATTTTCCATAATTAACTCACTTGAGGTGAAAAGGTCAGCCCCATCATAGGGCCCTTCAAGGTATCCATCACCACAGGAGGAGTCTGAAAATGTGCTTTAGTGACAGTAAATACACACTGTACAAAGACAGGAACACACAAAAGAAAAGACACAGGAAGAGAAAGAAAAGAACTTCAGAAAGAAAAGTGGAAAAGAGTCTGATGAACTGAATGTTAGGTGCAGACATATATTGGAAATATTCATATACAGAAATGGAATTATACATGATTTGCAAGAGATTTAATATTTCAGGGTAACTGTTGTATTTTCCAAATTAATCTCTTTTTAACTGTTATGTTGCATTCAATAATTCAATTTAGATCAGGAAAAGGAATCAGATTTTTCTGCAAATACATGGGCCTTCTAAGGATTAGGTCAAATGGTTATTGGTAACAACAGAGAGAAGGAAAGATCAATTCAGTCAAAACTATCAAATATTCCAAGAAGCACAACCACTTCTTCACTAGCTTGAAGAATGAAATTCCAATGAACACAGCACACAGCATATATGCAGATGAGATGGAATGGGGAAAGAATGAAATGTGTCTTGGAATCATGATACAAACCCATATATATCTGCATCCAATAGAAACAGATAATGGTTTCTGGTTTTCCATTTAAGATGGACATATAGGACGACAGAGCAAAGTTTTTGATCACAAATTTTTTAACTGCTGTCTTGCTAGAAGACATGTCTTTTCATATTAAACATAATTAAGACAATGGCAACATTATATTCAGAACATTTTAAGAAGTAATTCTTGTCAAATGTTGATGGTCAATTAATTATTCAAGAAATAGCCTACAAGAATGCTCTAAATCAGGTATGACTTGATGTTTATAATAAGCCGGGGAAATGGGGATGAAGAAATCAGCTGTAAGCTCATACTCAGCAGGATATTCTTTCCCTAAAATTAAAATTAAGAAATGACTATATAAGCAATTACATACAACCCAACTTTCTCCCAGTAGCAACCACCAATACTGCCATTAGAGAAGAACTGAAATTTATTTTCATGCCAGGATGGTCTTATTGGACTGAGTTTTAAAACTAAGCCTTGTGTCTTGATTTTTAATCCAAATGTTTCACAGGATTATCTGCCAATCTAAGTTTAGAATTTTTAAAAATCTGAAAATTACAGATGGATAAAAAGGTTAGACTGTATATATTATGATCAGTAGAGCTTAAGTTAATTTTTTAAGCTTGAATTAATTTTTTCATATACCTATATCCTATTCTTATTAATTAAATATACAACCTCTTGGCAATAATGAAATATATGCATAAGGAAGTGTATTCTGATCAATGTCTGTCACTGTTTAGTTGTCATGCTCTTCATTTTGTATATAATAATTACAGACTGCAAAAGCATTTAGCAATTTTTTTTGCTATCAGCTAAAATATGGCTGTATAACTGTCTAAAAAACTTTTAAATTGACTTTGAAAAACAACTTACCTGGGACGGGGGAGAAGTAGAGAAAGAGGTTGTGCATACTTCTTGAGAATCTTCTACTGATGGATATGCCACTGCATTTTCTTCACCTGTTCTGTAAATATCACAAGGTACATTTTTTTTAAAATTGAAATGTTTAATAATAGCCAAGCAAAGGCTCTACTGATGAAAACACTACAGACAGGAATTAGAAGATTTGGGTGGAGTTGAAAGGAGAATTATGACAGAGCTCTTTCCTTAAAAGAGGTAGGGTGGATTTAATAGTTTTGGATTTTATGTGCTCATAAATTTTCCCTGGAAAAGTATGATATATTTTCTTAGAAGTTTTGTTTTTTAAAAGGAAGCCTTTACTGTTAAATTCATTTCAAGGCTATTAGTTGTACAGATGTACAAAATGTAGTTTCAGAGCTTCACAAAACACATTTCTAAACACTGCTGTTTTGGCCTATGAAGAAAATATTAACCTGGAAAAGGTTTTAAAAAATAGGTCATCTATTAAAATATTTTTGAATTATGCATGCTTTACTTATACTATCATACAAGCATTAAAATAGAAATTTGTAAAACACGTGCCAAGTTATTTGAAAAAAAAATTAATTCTGCACTTTACTCTGGAAAAATATTTACAGTCCTAAGATTTCTCACTGACTAAGGTGTGATCTGAAATGAATGTGTCTTAAATATTTTCTCATTTATCCACCCACTTCTACTAGTGTGAAAAAAATCAGGCTTTTTCTGCATCCTACACTTCAATTGAAGCGGTGAGCAAGATTCACATAATTTTCTCTACTCAGCATGTAAGCTGTAAAGCAGGGCTGTCAAACTCTGGCCCATGGCCCGGATGTGTTATGTATTGGCCATGCCCGTTCCCGGTTTAGCGAAGGAGAAAAAAAATCCAGATACATCACATGACGCTTGCCATGACAACGTTGAGTTTGACACCCCTGCTGTAAAGGCTCTGTACCTGGGATAATTGCCTCCACTATTCATGATTCCTCTTTCCTCACCTGTAATTGCAGGGATGCATGGGTGAGGAGCTGGGGTAGGGACGGTCCACAAAGTGATCAATGATAATCCCCATGATAGGTGGGGTCCTCTCAAACTGCCTGCAAGGCAATAAGTAATAAGCAAAATGTGTTATTCATAGGACTGTGGTTTCTATTTCACAACTTGTTCTGAGAGCCATCCTGCTCTTTTGGGTAAATTTATGGGGAGCAGAGCATGACCACAATTCAACCCTGCAACTCCACACATAAACAAGGAACTTGCTCAAAACTTAAAAACTACTAATATCAATCTGCCAAATCCAAGTAACTCAGATTTTCAGGCTTTAAGGATATCCTAAGAAGAGATTATTTATTTTGACTAAGAAGTCCTCACCTGGTAGACATGAATGCTAGGTTGATTCTGTAGGCACATGACAAAGTGATTGTGCCTAGTGGAGTACCAACTGTCCCAACTCGGACTGTCTGAAATCCTACACAGGCAAAAGAGAAATGATAATTGTCCCAACTACTCTTTATGTTAATAACATCAACCACAAAAATAAGTTGCTATTGCTCTTATTTTTAGCCGAGCACACCAATAAAACGGAAAGCTCCAAAATGATGTCCATGCAGACCATCCTTTCTGTTCATTATCCTCTCCTGCTCCTCCTTTTTTAATTTTAGTGCAATGTTGTCTGTGGGAAACTAGTACAGTTACAAGAATCTCTCTAGATCCTGTCTGAAATGGGTCCTGGAACACAAAACTCCAGGTTTGAAAGAACTAACTTATTTGGAAATTACCACTACCTTGTACTTAGCTATAGATCCTGAGAAGTTGCTTTTCTTTTAACCTTACCAATTTACTTTTTGAAAGCTGAACATAAAAGTAATATACACTCAAAAGAGATTGATGCAAATGTCTATTCATTTTCCTATTGAAAAGTCAGATGAATATATTCTTTAGTTGAATCCCATATATCAGTTTCAATTCTTCATCAATCTCTTATAAATTCAAACATCCATCCATGGTTTCATGTTTCTTTTGTAAACTTGTGAATCTGTTAGTCTATAATTACTCATTTTTATTTTTTAATAGTAAAAAAAAAAAAGCCTAGGTCTAATTTTTTTTGATACTCAGTCATACCTTCTCCCAATCCATTCAGTTGCACTTCTCCGAAGTATACCCTACAACAGATAAGTAGAGACAAAAATTATATATGTTATATACGTTGTTTCAGGACACAAGGCAGAGATGTAAATTTGATTTTTTATTCTTGATGTACAATAACCGTATAACCCTTGATTTGGTCACTTTTTAATCTTCTGTGAACAAAGAACATAAAATAACCATAAGATCTACTGATGTCAGAATTAAAGGAAGTAAGAAGCATGGTAAATGTTTAGGTGCGAAAATTAGAACGTATTGGCACAGAATCGAGATTAAAAAAAAAACAGAATGGAAAAAAATATTAAATCAAACAAATTCCTTTAGTAAGGTTTTAGTCTAAAACCCCATTGATATATTGTCAGTTTTAATTGATAGACACTAGGACATAACAATATCCAACAAAAATCCAAAGTAGTAGCAGCAGCCAATTGAATTTGAAATAAGAAAAATTAGGAGGCAGCCAGATCATTTATATTCTGTCTGAAACTACAGTTTTATCGAGGCCATTCATTAAATACACATCTAGCTTGGAAATATAAATCATATAACAATATTTTACTAGTTGGACAAGGCAACTGGCAATAGGTACAGCAGATTAACTGGAAAATACTTACATACACAATTGCACAATAATATCTGAGAAATATATGGCATTATGAAATGGTTTAGATTTGTTAAAATAATTTCCAAATATTTACAGAAATCTAGAATCCACTGCTACCATACTGGCTTATTAATATTATCTAATGAGATTTTATAACATTGCACTAAAGACAACAGAGAATGAGGTGGCTGGATGGAGTCACTCAGTAGTCGGCATGAGCTTAAATGGACTCTGGGGGATAGTAGAGGACAGGAAGGCCTGGAGGAACGTTGTCCATGGAGTTGCAATTGGTCAGACACGATTTCACAACTAACAACAACAACAATGCAAGCATGTTAAAAAATATGAGGCTGGAGAAAAATGAAAATGCAAAAACATGAAATATAAAACTTGATACAGACAATATAGAATGTATTAGAAGTTCTATTTATTTTTTGCTTCTGAGGATAATCAAAGTCAGTATTACCTGTACAATATGACATATTCATGACCTTGTTTTCTTGAGAGTCTATAGGCTGGTGTCACTCTTGTTATAGCAAGCAAAGATTTCAGCAGTAGAGACAGCCTATTGTACACAGTGTAGGAAACTTTGGTTTCTTTATCACATCTAAAAGCATACATAAAAATAATTAGTCCGACATTCCAAGAATTGATAAATTCTGAAATGAAGCAACTTTAAAATACAGGTAGTCCTCAACTTATGACCACAATTTAACCCAAAATTTCCATTGCTAGGCAAAGCAGTTATTAAGTGATTTTTATCCAATTTTATGACCTTTTGGCCATACTTAAGTGAATCATTGCACTTGTTAAATGAATCATTTGGTCATTAAGCAAATCCGGCTTCCTCCATTGACTTTGCTGGTCAGAAGCCAGTAGAGAATGTTACAAATGGTGATCACGTGACTCCAGGATAGTGTCATAAATACATGCCAGTTGCCAAGTACCTGAATTTTGATCATGTGACTGTGACAATGCTGCAACAATTGTAAGTGTGAAAACTTTTTTCCAGTGCTGTTGTAACTTTGAACTGTCATTAAACAAATGATTGTAAGTCAAGGACTATCTGTACTGAATTATCACTGTAAAAAAATAAAACTATAAGATTATACTTTTATAGAGTTCAAAGCGAATACGTACCGTATATCTACAAATTTTGTTATTTACCATATTTTTTGCACTATAAGATGCTCTGGAACTTAAGACACACCTAGCTTTTGGGGAGGAAAACAAGAAAAAAAAATCTGCCCTTGCCTCCCAGCATCCATCTGGTATTCATCTGGTTAGTGTCCTTGAAGCAAACAGCAAACCTATCGCAGACCCAGCACGTGGCTTGTCAGGGTTCCGCTCTGTTGCGCCTACCACCAGTCAACTGAGCTGAGCTGCTGCTGCTGCTGGGAAACAATGGAGCCTTTGCTTTTCTGTAGCTGATTGGTGGTTGGATCCTCCCAGAATATCGCCAATCAGCTGTTCTAGGCGGCGGGGATTGCTGCCACCACCTATTTCCATCACCGCCTATTCTGTCGCCTAAAACAGCTGATTGGCGGTATTCTGGGAGGCTGATCCAACTGCCAATCAGCTGCTCGGCAGCAAAGGCTCCAGCGTTCCCCGGCTGGAGGTGATGCGTCTTATAGAGAAGGGGTCCCCAACCACTGGGCCCCGGACCGGTACCGGTCCATGAAACATTTTCTACTGGGCCGCCGGTTTGCTGGGCGCCGCCATCTTGTTTTGAATGAGAAAGTGCTTCCGATGAGCTTTTCCGGTTGGAAAGTTGCGTTTGGGTCCTGAAGGAATCCTCGCGCCTTAGTTTCATCGAAGGGGGGGCCGGCTTCGAACAAAACTAAGGCGCGAGGATTCTTTCAGCACCCAAGGCAAGGTGAGCCGAGTGACCGTCCCGAAGCCCATCGACAAAGGTACAAAGGAGGAGTTGAAGGTGGCGGGGAGAAGCGGGGGACGGCTAGCTGGCCGGTCACTTGGCCCGCCTTGCCATGCGTGCTGATGCCGGTACCGGGCCGCGGATCATTTTGTGATGCTGGTACCGGGCCGTGGCACAAAAAAGGTTGGGGGCCACTGTTATAGAGTGAATATTGTGGTGGTGATCCCCCTCCCTCCGCCGCAATATGCACTCTATAAGACACAGACATTTCCACTCACTTTTTTTGGGGGGGGGTGGAGGGAAGTGTGTCATAGTATGAAAAATATGGTAATTCTAATTCAAATGAAGATGTTTGCTTCTCAAATATCAGAGAGAAACAATATCTTAAGTAACAATTAATGCATTAATCCATGAATACTATAGAATAACTTGATGGACTTCATTTGCAATCGGACAAAATTGTCACAGCAATTTACATCATTTGCATTTGATGATACCATCACACCAATGTCATTGATGCAAATGAAGTAATTTGCATTATTTGGTTAATGACATCATCATGCAAATAAGGTAATTTCTGCAATGACATACGGGTAGTCTTCATGTAATGACAACTGGACTTGGCAACTTGGTCACTAAGCAAAGTGGTTACTAAATGAAATCACAACTCTTATGACTTTATTATGAGATACTTTGCCATTACTATCATAACTGCAAATGGTCGCTAAATGAGGCAGCCGCTAAGCAAGGACTACCTCTACTTATGTTAGGACAAGCATTCCCCTCATCCCAATTAAAATAAAGTTCCATTCTATACTCATTTCCTGAACAGGAATGCAATATTAACTAATTACTATGCCTATAAAAATACTATTGTAGAATGAAACAAAGCCCATTGATGATAATAGATTTATCTAAATCGCATAGCTTTTTGCAATACATAAGTGTATTTAATGAAAAGGGAACTGTGAAATGAACAAATTTCTATCTGGCTTCCTGACATATGAAAATATTTTTAATTGGATAATTTAGAATGCGCTGTGGGAGCTCTAGTAAAATGCCTGCACAAAATGCATACCATGAAAGATTTAGTGAAACTCAAAGCATCCCAATGCTTTATTTCACCATGTCCAGCCTGCACCTCTTGCATTTTACCCCATTTCTACCTTTGTCCATTTGCAGAACTAGTAGGCTCTATTCTGCATTATTATTTTTAGATTCTACGAAAGCTTACTAAGCGCATTTTAGACATTCTTGAAAATAAAGATGCTTCTATAGACTGGCACCTTGACCTATATATGCCACCTTGCCACTTTTTAACTGAAATGTAATTTGAAATGTAAAGTCAAGCAAGCAGGTTTGGTACCACACTGAAGGCCATAGTTTTAGGGTAATTATACATGATACTGTTATCAATTTATCAATGTTTGAAAATGTGTAAATACCAGGAAATATCTAAGCAGCTGTTAACAGAAGTGAAAAATATTTTATACATGAAACATTTCAAGATTGAAGCTGGGTATACTGACCTTATTGGAAGCGTTCTGAGCTCAAAAGAACAATTTTTGAATTCAGAAAGCCCTTTTGAATTCAGAATGCCTCCACCAAGACTGGAACTGCATGGAAACATTTCATGCAAGTTGGGAACAGCTTATTTTTTTTAACCTAAGATTGGGAAATATTTGCATACTTTTATTTTGTAGCGTGCAAATGTTAACTCATAAATTAATTATGATGGACATATTGGATGCAATTCATTTTTATTACTACTTAGCTCTATGCACATTTTAAAATGTAAAGAAAAAAAATGGGAACTAGTGTTTTGTTATTTACGCTTCACCAAAAGCCTCCTGTGCCCATTGGTTCTAGTGATTCACTAATATTAACTGTTCACATTGAAGCCAGTTATTTGTAACAACGTTATAGCTTTAAAACAGGTAACTGAGTTTGTTATTTGCATTGTTTCTCTTCTCACTTCCCTTTTCTTTTACACTATGCATTTTAGGCTTCCAAGCATCCTAGGGACAGGTAGTGTCCTCTCTGTTATTGGTGTGAGCCTTTCTGATAGATTTCCTCCCCACTAAAGATAGGAATGAAAATACTTTAAACAGTCACTTACTTTTCATTCATTTCTAAACACCAGATTTCCAGCTCCATGGAATCTCCCTGCAGTGGGGGGAGGAAAAAGTATTTCAACCAAGCCTTTATAATGACAAAGCTTTTACTTGTCAAAAGAAGTCCCTAGTACAGATGAGTCAGTGGGTATTGCTGAAAGCGAGACAAATGAAACTTTAGGCAGACTTAACATTAGTATAGTTTCAAATTATGGAAAGTGATACCTTCATATACCTGAAAGAATGCCATACAAAAGAAGCTCAAGTTTTGTCACTACCAAATGCAGGACATAAAATAATGGATTGATAAAATGTTTTATAAATCTTGCTAAATTTCAATTACATGGAAAATCGATTCTAGATTTTGAATGCATTCTGTTAGTCCATTTTGGGTACCTTAGTTCAAAAATTGTTGTCCCATGGTGTACCATTTCACCCAGTTAAAAGATTATTAGAATGAGTGTTTTAGTAGTAGACAAGGTAGTTCTATCCACTATCTCATCATTTAAGGCAATTTCAAATAGAATTCCTGGAAAGAAGATCCTACGTGTAACAATATTTCAGTGACTAAACAGAGTACTTTCTCTTTTTTATATAAAAATGAAAACTATAATGCTGCCAGCAGTGGTTTACTTGAATGACTCTCTTAATCTCATGTTAATTTTCACATGATTTGAAGCCATGTAACAAAATCTGAGATGAAAGTGAATAAGAAAAAAAAGAATGGTTGGTTCAGTTTATACCTCAGAGGTTTTAAGGGAGATTTCCACACACATTGACCGCCCAACAGCAGGCAGCTGTCCTGCCAAAGCTTTTTTTGCTTCATGAGTAACTTCTGGTATGTCTTTGATTGCCAAGTTGAACTGTAAAATTAAGAACGTAGATTTTAATTTTCAGGAATCTATTTTAGAAACCTATGGTCTACCATACTGTAGAAATATGTATAATAAAACATAGCTCACAATAGATTAATCTCACAACTATAAAGCAAAACACCTTTTGCTGTCATACACTGCAGATTAATAAATGTTGATTTCCTCATGCTGTTGTAAAGCAGATAATATACAAACACACAGATATACACAAATCCCATTTGCTTTCACTACCCATCCTTAGAGATCTGGTATGTCACAAATACCCAATCAAAAAATCTAATAAGAACTTGCCAAGGAGGAGTGAATTGGTCTGATACATTCTATATTTATAAAACTACTTTACGAGAAGCAAAGTAGAAGCCACGTGCATTTAATATGAACGTTATAAATGACATAACAAAGGGATTGATCTCAAAAATACTTTTTACCCAGTCAGAGCCTGTTGGTGAGGAGGATGAGCGAGTGCAGATTTTTTCTCCAAGTCGGGCCTGCACAATCACCTGTACAGTCTGTAAGATAAAACAGGCTTACTGCATTGGGAAAAAACAAATAGTTAAAAAATGTTAAGTAGAGAACATCTACTGAATGGTACCATATTGGAAAAAAAAATTAAAGGAGTTACAAAAACCAAATTATTCAACCGTTGATATCAGAAGTCAGAAATATATACATGCATTATTAATCGCTCAGTTCCTCAGCAGAACATTTGAGGAAATGATATAACTTTTCTTATATCTCTTAACCATTTTATCTATAATTTCTTTGATTTAGGGCTGTGCACACTTCAAAAAAGCTTTTTATTTAATAAATTTATATGCTGCCCATCTCATATGCATGACTTTGGGTAAAACAGAGTAAAACAACAATAAAAAACAGAATTAAAAAGAACAGAAGTTTTGAAGAAGTTCTTCAGATTCTGAGCAAATGCAAGAGCCCCTAATGTAGAATTCACATTTTTATTATTTTATTGATGAAGAAAAAGGGCTGTCTCTTTAGGGTTGTGTTAACTTTACCACTGAAATTCAGTATTCCTATTTTAAAGCCTAAAATTCTAACACTGAAAAGATATTTCTGAAATTCTTAATTTTTTCGAATTTCTTAATTTTAAAAAATGTTACAGAATTCAATTACTTATACATTTTTGTGTAGCTGCCACTGAATTGTTGTGCAAAACTTTAGCTTTTCTTATGCTGTAGTCTAAACACAACGCACATACAAATAATCACCTTCAAAGCAAAAAATTTTATGAACTTGTCCAAGTCCTTCCTGTCCTGGGAGCTGAGGTCAGTATCCATTGCATATGAAAGTCTGAAATAGGACAAAAAAAAATGATTTCACATTTCCAGTCTTAGAAGTTCTTTTACATAGTATTATTTAGCCAAACTAGTCTTAAACATCAACAAGTAGATTTTAAGTCAGCCACTATTTGTGAAATCAATTTGTTCAGTTAGATAAACAGAAATTAAGAAGATTTAGTGAAGATTACATTCTGAACTGTTTTAACTATCTGCTCTTTCAGAATCATCTAGTGATTCTGAAAGAGTAGATAGTAAAGAGCAAAATCAAGTAACTTTTTATTTAATACGACGAACTTGATAGAGATACATAGTGAATAAGATTAATCATTTGTGAAATGAATTCTAGGTAATTTGAAGTGAGACAATGAGTAAGTGCTGACATATCATTGTTCATGATGAAAGTTTATTCAGAGTAGACCTGAAACTGAACTCAGCAGTAGTTGATGTCATGTCCTTATATATTGTGTGTGCTTAATACAATAGAATGCAGGTTTAATGAAAAGGAAGATTGTCATGTTGAAGGATGATAAACAAGCCTAAACCCATATATTTTGGACACATGATGTGATCAGATAGTACACTGAAAAAACAACAACTATGCTTGATAAAAGTTGAGAGAATCAGAAGACAAATGGATAAAATGAGATGATAGATCAAACATATTATTGGAGAGTCCTTAGAAATGCTGTGGACACAGATACACCACAAACCAGGATTACTGAAACCAGAAATATACTCTTTATATCAGAGGTCTCCAAACTCAGCAACTTTAAGACTTGTGGACTTCAACTCCCAGAATTCTCCAGCTAGCTGGGTGGAGAATTCTGGGAGTTGAAGTCCACAAGTCTTAAAGTTGCTGAGTTTGGGGACCCTTGCTCTACATGATATATTTCAATGCATATTCCACAAAAAGAATAATTGTCCCCTTTTTAAAAGCACCTTAGAGCAGGGGCCCCCAACCACCGGGCCCCGGACCGGTACCGGTCCGTGGATCATTTTCTACCGGGCCGCCGGTTTGCTGGGCGTTGCCATCTTGTTTCGACAGAAAGTGCTTCCGGGTGAGCTTTTCCGGTTGGAAAGCGGCATTTGGGTACTGAAGGAATCCTCGTGCCTTAGTTTCATCGAAGGGGGCGGCGGCTTCAAACGAAGAGCCGTCCCGATGGCGGAGGAGATCAAAAAAGCACAAAAAAGGTACAAAGGAGGAGTTGAAGGTGGCGGGGAGAAGCGGGGGACGGCTGGCTGGCCGGTCGCTCGGCTCGCCTTGCCTTGTCATGCGTGCTGATGCCGGTACCGGACCGCGGATCATTTTGTGATGCCGGTACCGGGCCGTGGCACAAAAAAGGTTGGGGGCCACTGCCTTAGAGTCTACTAACAAGCCACCCTGGCTCTTTGGAATAAATATGGCACACACTCCAACATGTCCCTACCAGTGGTGTGTTTCAAATATTTTTACCACCGGGTCGATGACTGTGGCTTGGTGGGCGCACTTTGTGCGCATGCACACACTTTGAGCATGCAAACACACCAAACACACACTTTGCGCAGGCGCGGTTTGATTCACCTCCTGCAATCCTGCCCTCTGCCTGATGGTTCAGCAGCTGCTGTGCGGCAATTGCTGCGCTGTACAAAGCAGCTGTGCTTCAAAAGCAGGACATAAAGGTTAGTCCACAAATATCCATGGCTATGGACTATGCTCAGAGACAAGTCAAGATGGTGAGCGTTTGTCTATATAGCCACTAGGGCTGAGCCAGACTTGATAGCACTAAATACCTAGGTTAGAGTATGCAAGGTACAAAATAGTTTTCATGTTTCAAGGATTAAAAAAGCTCCTTTCCCTCCAATTTGAAAACATGAAAAACAAGTTGTTCAGATCTTTGTAATAGCTACTTTAAACAACTATAATGAATGATAATACAGTCTTAGCACTGTATGCTTATTTAGTGTTCATAGAGCAAGAAAAATCCATTACCTTAATTAAGATCAGGGCAGGGCCAAACTTCCAAACACAGCCTTGTTGGCATTTCACATTACAATCTCTCAATCTTTTTGTTAAAAATGACAATTACTGGCATCAGAGATTAGCTAAACTGGTTTTGAATTTTACATTAAGCAAGGAAAAGTGAAGTTTTTGACCTAATCAGCAAATATGAAATTGCTGCAGTACATTATCCTATAAAATGATCTCCATTAAGGAGGGCAGGGTATAGTAGGCTCTGCCCTTCAATAAAGGTTGCTAGAATGGTTTTGGACAGCACATAGCACACCATTATACAAAGGAAAGCTATTGAGGTTACTCCTCTTACAAAGTCTCTCATGATAGTTCCTATAACTGCAGCTTTCATTTTTCCTATGATTTCAAAACACATCAAATAAACCAATGCTTTATAGTTCCTAAGAATGCCTGCAATGCCTTTATGACACCAGAGATCTATTATTGGAAATAAAGATGCTACACGCCAGTGGCTGCAGCATACAAGTTTCCATCAAGAAAAGGAAGGAGTATGTTAAAATCATTTTTGGCATAATGAGGTAAATGAAAGGAGAAAGAATTAAAAGGTATATTATTATATACCAGACTAACTACTTTAGTATTACCGTGGATGGAAAGATCCTAGAAGCCTAAATTTAAGTACAAAGCATGTACATATAAGTTGAAGTCATCCCTCAGACAACTCTCTTCTATTTAAGGCTCTAAATATGGGGCGAGAAACAAGAAGACAAAGAAGTCTTTAACTTACGACAACAATTGAGTTCAAAATTTATGTTGCTCAGTGAAATAGTTGTTAAGTGAATTTTGCCCCATTTTACAATCTTTCTTGCCACAGTTGTTAAGTAAATAACTGCAGTTGTTAAGTTAGTAACATGATTGTTAAGTGACTCTGGCTTCGCCATTGACTTTGCTTGGAAGAAGGTCAAATTATCACCCAGGGACACTGCAAGTTTATAAATATGAGTTAATTGCCAAGTGCCTGAATTTTTATCATGTGACCAGGGGATGCTGCAACAGTCATGTGAAAAACTATTATAAGTCACTTTTTTCAGTGACTTATGATTCAGATATACAGTAGTGCTGTGATTGAACACACATTTCACAGTAAGCCATGTTTTTCTTTGATCAACATTAGTTGAATTTACACATATTAACCCGCAATTTATTTAAAAGTCACAGTGGCTAAAAGTTCACTCACACAAACATAAAGACATTAGGTTTAATGAATGAATGAATGAAATGTGCAAGCCCATCCCAAATACCAACTAGAAATATAAAGCCCGGGAAGATACATACCATGGTTGATAGTCTGCTAGAATTAAGAGGTCAAACTGCCCTGCCCATTTTCTGGTATGACTCATCCATTGAGATGGTCATCCATCAGCCCTTCTCAAAATCCAAAAGCTGGACTAGAGTGTGTAGACATCATAATTCTCTCTCTTTTTTTCCTCTGCAGTTCAATATTCCACACATCATTTTCTGCCCCTTACTTGTTTTATTGCAATTCAGGAAGAGCAGTATATTTGTGAGCTGTAACCTATGAAGATCTATATCTATTTGAGATGCAGGAGGCAATCGTTACCTGCGCAAGAGAGGCTGAGGTGACAATCCGAGGTTTCATCCCGGGATTAACCCAAGAGGCTTCTCCTAGCCTCTTTGCTTGGCCATATTCATTTGGCTTCTCTTACTCCCGACCTCTCCGTCTTGATACAGGATGGAAGATGCCTCTTTTTCTTCTTCTTCCTGTTGAGGACCTTCTCGGTTTCAGAGAGCAGAGAAACCAGTGTCTTTTGCAATGGGATCTTCTCTGTCCAACTAAGAAGGAAAAGCACTAAGGAACCCCCGTGTCCACTCGGTAGGCGACTGGCTACGCTACCTAAATTTCCTCGTTGGGTACAGCCAGGAAAGGCGCAAGAGGAGAAGGAGTCTAAATTCTCAGCTCGGCTCTTGAGGTGAAGAGCGCGGTTGGAGCCGTTTAACCCCGAGCTAAAAACCAGAATTTGGCCTTGGGGAGGTGGCAACACCAACAGCTTCTCTTTCCAGGCTTGGTTCAGACAAATGCCTCCGGCTAGGCTACGAATAGACTCCGGTCCGAGTGGCGCTTTTTTCCGGGAAAATCCGTCCGAGAAACTCTTGTGGGCAAAGAAAACCGCGGGCTGATCGCCCCCCTAACCGGGTTTCTTCGCTGGATACTGCGAGGGGCCGTGACGGCGCCTCACGACCACAGCCTCCCCCGGGATCCCGTCACCGCCGCCATTGCTGCTGTTTGTTTTCATCGGCTTAAGGCAAATGAGGCAATTGGAGCGGCACTTTTCACACGGAGTCCAAATTATTTTTCCCCCACCCTTCTCCCGCAGTCTAATTTGTGCCTCCCTCCAGGGGAATTAGGCCGCAACACTCATAAATTGATGAATAAAAAGGCTCAGGTGCAAATGTGTTTTTTTTAAAAAAAAAAATATCCAAAAATCATACTTGTGAAGAATCTGCGTTTGGGAAACAGCAGCTTGTGCGTCGTGCGAGAGTGGAAAACTCCGCCTTGTGGCTTTCCCGGCACTGGGAAGAAAACCTGGAATCGACGTTTTTGACTCCTTCGGGCTAATCCTAGGATGGGGAGAAAGAGGTGAACGTGGAAGGCTGTTTCTTCTCCCCCACGACATACTTTTTTTTTTTCCTGGATCACATAACCTTCACAGCCTTAGACATTCTGGAGAAGGCAGTCCCTAACGCCGACTTTCAGTCCTCCTAAATGACTTCCAAGCAAATCCTTCCTTAACCCTGACAAGAGCCCTTAGGTAGGGGCTAAGGGCGATTGATGCAATGCTTCGTACTTCAAAGCGTTCTCTTACGCAACTTAGCTGATTGCTGTTTGGGCCGCTCATTTCAAAGTAAGTCTTAGTTTGTATCATAAATACATTAATATGGAATATAAAGTGCCCATAGTCAGCTGTAGGTGGTTTTGAAATCGGCTAATTCCATTTTTTCTCTGCCCTTCTCCAGCAGCTTCTTTGTCCTCAGGCCCCACTTTATCATATATATGCATGTCTAATGCTCATACTCTCTCTCTTTCATGCATCTTTACAACCATCCATTTTCAGTGCTTCCTGTTCTCTTTAATTAAAATTGGTTCTTGGTATCTTAAATCTAAGACAGAGTTCCTCAAAGTGATTAATATTGACCTTCAAGGGTTGATGGGATTATCTGTTATTGTTTGTAGTACTAGTTAGTTCAAGACTTGAAGTGTTATTTATTTTCATATAATATTGGGGGGTGGGGTGTCAACGAACAGCCTGAAATTTCATGAAGTGGTCAATGTGCTTAAGATTTGGGGACCCTTGGTTTAGGACCATAGCAAGTAACCTGCAATACATGCTAGGTCAAAGTGTGGTTGTGTGATTTGTGGCTCAGTATGTCATACAAACAAGGTTTCTACCTTAATAAAATAGGTGTTGCCAGGATCAATTATTGAAGGTCCCTTTGTTTTCCAAACAATTAGTAGCTTGAGAAATGTGTTTGGCTGCACAAATAATCCCCTCTAAATGTGCTGGTATCGAACAGTACAGGGATTCACAATAATGGATTATGCAATTTGTTTAAGCATATAAAGGTAAATGTTTCCCCTGCCCACTCAACATACGAGTCCCAGCCACGAAAACCAACACCAGACCCAAAACAACACGGGACACCACCGCCAATCCCCCTCATCAGACCCAGGCCCAAGCCCATCCTATAAACGAAGGACAACCACCATCCAGAAAACAGACCACGGCTGCTGTGCCAGCTGTCGCACCCCCGACCCCAAAACCAAACAAGCTGACACACACCAAGAACACAGACCCAGACCCCAAACTCGAAGCCAGACTAAAACCCAGAATGCTACATCACAGCCACCCGCTCAGGACATCACATCAGAAAACTCAGGAAATTACACCACAAGAACTCAAGAAGTTGCAACACAGCAAATGACCCAGGATATCACAGCACAAGACCAAGGATACCACAGCAATAAATATCACAAGGTCATCACACAACCCATTACCCAAGCCGTTACTACACAGGAGGCTAATGGAAAAGAGATCAAAACACAAATGACCCAGGAGATTACAACACAGGACCCAGAATACCACCAGACATGATATTCTTCCGATTAAAATCAGAATTCCGATTTTTGGGGGGATCGCCCACCCCCCCTTTCCACCTTCTTTTCCTCCTTCCCCTCCCCTCCCCCTGAGTCAGGAGTTGCTACCGCCGCCGCGGCTCCAGTCCCGCATTGCCTCGGGAAGGGAAAGGCAAAAAGGAAGAGCCGCGGCGGCACTTTGCAACAGCAGCAGCGGCACCAGAGGCTCAGGCGCAGCAGCTCCTGGTTTTGCCTTTCCCTTCCCGAGGCAACGCGGGACTGGAGCCGCGTGGAGCCGCGCCGGCGGTAGCAACTCCTAACAGCCCCAGCCGGACACCTGAGCGGAGCCTGGGCGGTGCGAGCGGAGGCTGCTGAGCGGCAGGAAAAGGGAGCTGGGCAGCCACGGACCATCCGTCTCTCCGTGCAACATGCCACCGCCTGGCCCTGGCGAGGGAAAGCAGCGGGCGCTCCCCGGGCGGCGGCCTTGGCCCCACCCCCAGCTCTGGAGCTGATCCACATGTGACCGGCTGGAAAGGAGGGGTGTGTAGCGTTGGTGTTGTGTGTGCAATTTCTTGGCTCGCGGCACGGGGTCTCTTTTGGCCGGCCCCGATTTTTTTTTCAGAGGGGAATATCATGCCTGGATACCACAACAACAGAACTCGCAAGCCCATCACACAGCCCATTACCCAAGCTGTTAAAACACGAGTGGCTAATGGAAAAAAGATCACTACAAAACAAACGACCCAGGAGATTACAGCACAAGATCCAGGATATCTCCACAACAAAACTCACAAGGCCATCACACAGCCCATTATACCAACATCAACTCTATCAACCAATCAAGAGGCAGCAGCACAGCCAACCAGTCCAGCACACCAGCCCCCACCACCAGTATTTATAGAGAGACGGCAGCTCCGATCACACACTGCTTGCACTGGCACGAAGCCGAAAGCACCAGCCTGAGGATGGCGAGTGGGACCTCGCCGAAACGTCGCCAAGATACTCTTAATCTTACACAGGAAAAGACCAGAACATACTTAGACCTACATATATACATATACATATACATGTACACATACATACACACACACACTTTCCAATTATATTAATTATACTTTAATAGGTTAAGTATATTAAAATACTGGCTAAACAATAATTTCCAACCATAAGGCTTGACCTCTCTTATTTTGTTTGACATATATCATTGTACCTGGAAGCAACAAATTGGAGATAAAGTTCAAAAATTGAGCTAAGCACCAGAAATAATACTTCTAAGGTTAAAGACATATTTAGTTAGGGATATGAATATCCATGTATTTTTGCCTGTAGATGATGACCTGTTAGATGAAAACACATATAATTGGCATTAAATGTTCGATTGTATAGATCTGGAAATTAATAAGATAGTTATATTTAATGAGGAAAATTGTGTAAATGATCACAAGTTATATGGTATATAACTGGCACAAAACTGGAGAAAACAGATTAATGTTTAGGAAACGTTTTCCTAAACTTGTTTGACTGATTTTGAGAATGTAAACATATTACCAATTTCTTATGGAATATATTCACTTTGAGTTTTATGTGTGACATTGGGTCAATAGTAATTGTATATTCTTTCATGCTAAAATATTCCCTAGCCCTGTAAAATTTTAACTGAAAAAAGTCATTTAAATTTTGCCAGAGAGATTGCTACAATTCATCATTAACTGAAGGTCAAGAGCAAAATCTCATGGAGACCTCATTTCCTTCTTTTCCAGTAAAATTTATTTGCACATAATTCTGTAGGAAATCTTTATTACATACTGTATCTTTTGCTTGCATTCACAGAATATTATACAGTACTTTGGTTTTACAGCAATAATATCAAATAAAATGAGAGTTCCTATTTATAAATGAATTTCCTGTCCTATTCAAAAATTGTGCTATTTAAGTCAATGTGATTTATGTTGAACTAAAGTAGGAAGAAGAGAAGGAAAATTGTGCAATATGCTGTATTTTCTTTTTTGCTTTCTTTTGACTGCATTCTTTTCTAATGAAGGTCAATACAGAGAAGGAAGATAAATCTATTATGGCTATTCCCATAGCAGTTATTGATTGTGACCTCTTGCTATATGGACGTGGACATAGGACACTGGATCGCTTCAAGCTGGAGGATGTTACTGATGAATATCTTGTATCTATGTATGGATTTCCACGTCAGTTCATTTATCATTTGGTGGATCTTCTAGGTGCCAATCTTTCTCGTCCTACTCAACGATCCAGGGCTATCAGCCCAGAGACACAGATTCTCGCTGCATTAGGTTTTTATACTTCTGGCTCATTTCAGACACGCATGGGAGATGCTATTGGCATTAGCCAAGCATCTATGAGTCGCTGTGTTGCCAATGTTACTGATGCCTTGGTGGAAAGAGCCTCTCAGTTTATTCATTTCCCAGAGGATGAAGTGTCAATACAACATATGAAAGATGACTTTTATGAGCTGGCAGGTATGCCAGGTGTACTAGGATTGGTGGATTGCAATCATGTAGCAATAAAGGCACCCAATGCTGAGGATTTATCGTATGTGAATCGAAAGGGCCTTCATTCTTTAAACTGCCTGATGGTGTGTAATGCCAGGGGAAAGCTGCTAAGTGCGGAAACACATTGGCCAGGAAGTCTGCAGGACTGCACTGTGCTTCAGCAGTCAGCTCTAAGAAACCAATTTGAAGCTGGTATGCAGAAAGATGGCTGGCTACTTGGTAGGTTCGTGCTGATTACTAGTTCTCTAAATCTGTTTGAATAAAGTTCTGATTGATTTATTGACATGTAAAGTAATCCAAACATAGTTGCATCATAAAATGCCCTTTGTAAATATAAGTATAGCTTAACTTGTATATTTTGTTCCCTTTGCTAGGATTTCAGATTCAAATATTGGTTGCTGAAAATAAAACTAGAATCTTTAGCCCTTTACTAGGAATCTCATTTTTTTCTTGATTTTACAGGTGATAGTTCTTTCTTTCTTCATACCTGGCTAATGACTCCTCTGCATATTCCTGAAACACCTGCAGAATACAGATATAATATGGCACATTCAGCAACTCATAATATTATTGAACGAACATTCAGAACACTCCAGGCTCGGTTCCGTTGTTTGGATGGATCAAAAGGAACATTACAGTATTCTCCAGAAAAAGCAGGTAACATCATCCTCGCTTGCTGCGTCCTTCATAATATCTCTCTGGAGCATGGGATGGATATATGGTCTTCCTCATATTTGGAACAAGTGGAACACCCAGAGGAAGAATTTGAGCACATGGAATCTCTTGACTCTGAAGCTGACAGAGTTCGCCAGGAATTATTGCTTACACATTTTAGCTAACCAAATTTGAGAATATCAAGTTGGTTTTAAGAAAAAAGATAGAAGGAAACATAGTTTGAGTTTTTTATAGAATTTGTCAACAGGACTATATTATTTATCAGTACTTCGCAAAAATAACATATTGAATGTGTGCATCTCTAAGTATTTTAATTTTATTGCACATGTTGTATCTATGAAATACATGGCTGTCTTCAATGTCCATCTTTATTTTTAAAAAAACAATGAAAATATATAGTAACATGCAATCTAATAGGTTTATTTTTCTGATAAAATCCTTTATTTTGAAGTTTTGCAAAATGTGAAATTTTGTTTTCTTTGAAATTAAACTAAAAACAATTTTAGTTATCAACTGTATTTGTGTAAAATAACATTTGTGTTGAAATATGGTAGAGTTCTCAAAAGATGTGTCGCTTCAAGATTCATATTCTCTTACACTAGCATCTTGGAATCACCCTCAAGAGTGTAGGTCACAAGGATTATATCAAGAAATATTTCATAACTTGCTTCTCCCACCATGTGACACCTGTGAGCAAATCTGAATACACCTTAAACTACTTTGATAATTGCCAAAAATCTTTGTGAACAAAAAAGGCAAATTTAGATCTAATCAGCATCAAAAGAAATATAATTTTTGAAGCACGTAGAGAAATCTCACTTTATTTTGCATTGGCCAGATCTCATCTTGACTACTATGTCCAGTTCTGGCAGTGCATTTTAAGAAAAAACTTGAGAAATTGAAAAGGTTCAGAGAAGCACAGCAAGAATGATCAGATGACTAGAAATTAAATCCATTTTTTTGAATTTAAATGCAATTTTAAGAGTGGGAAATGTTACCCAAGACATGATTCAACCCTTAGACCTGGGGTGTCAAACTTGCAGCGTCATGTTGTCATCACGTGATGTATTGTGACTCTCCCTTTGCTAAAACGGAGATGGGCATGACCAGCGCATGATGCATCTGGCCTGTGGGCCGCAAGTTTGACCTTCCTGCCTTAGTCATCTGTCACAGGTGCTTTAATTTAGATTCCTGACCTGCATACTTGACTATAAATGGTTTGTTTTAGTTCACTGATTCTGTAACTAACTAGCAAATCCAGATCATGTAACCAACTATTAAACTTAAAGCCTGTGGTTAATTGGGCTAAGAATGTGGATGGTCCTAATTTAACAATTACTCATTCAGCAACTGAACTTGCAACGAATAGATACAACTAATCCTAAAGGTGTGGCTGTCAAAGTGTCCTTGTGCTGACTTGATTGTATTTCAAACATGGAACAACCAGCCTAGATTTCTGATCATCACAGCATTCCATGATCACATGAGTGTGATTTTTGATCTTTCCTGCCAACTTCTCACAAGCAAAGCCAATATAGATGCTGATAGGAATCTGGAAGTAGCAATCATATGAAGTCCTTGCTTATTGATCCAGATGGCTCTCGCTAAATGATGGTAACTGAGGACTGCTGGAATTGCCATTGCTAAGTTGCCTGTATACATTATGCTTTATGATTGCATCTTTTAGTTACAAAAATTCCAGGCACAATACCTCTTTATTAAATCAATTTATATGGCTACTTGCTTTGTGAATATGACTCGGCAACTACAATATGTTAAAATAATTAAAATAATATTGGCAAAAAATAAACAGTGGTTCTTGAGGATAAATCCAAAGAAAGCAATTAACAGACTACTTAACAAGCCCATTTAACCTACTGATCCCCAGGCCCTGGAATATACCCAGGTCTTCAATGCTTTACAAAATGTTAGTAGAGTCAAGGCCAATCTGATTTAAAGCTGTATGGAATTCCAAAGAACAGGTGCTATAACAGAAAAGATATCCTTCCAAGGTCTCACATGATGACAACATTTACCTGAAGGAACCTGAAGCATGCCCTTCCTGTCAGACCTAGTGAGATGAGTAGAGACAACTGGGGAGAAATGGTCCTTCAAATAGCCCAGTTCTATGCCATGGAAGACTTTATAGGTGACAACCAACATCTTGAATTCTACCTGGAGGTACACTGAGTTACTATATTTTGTGAAGCAGAGGTGAAATTTTATTTTGCAGCTTGTTGCTTGATAAAAAAAATGTTGCTTTTAGAAGATTACAACCTGACATTTGAATGGAATGGATATTTATGGTAGGATAAAATTAAAATTAATGTAGAATTTAAAAATCATTTTAGGGTCATTGGTGATCTCTGAACTTCATGGTTTTCTTGAGGACCTTTCATTACCAAACTAGATAACATTATTAATGCTACCATAATTCAATCCTGGACTACAAATATTCTCTTCTTTTGAAAAATCAGTTTATTAGATATGTCATATTGAGAATATGGAATAGATATTAAGTTTGTGTGAAACACTTATGAGGATCTCAGTCAATAAGTATTCCATAGAAGAAAAACTGCAGACAAAAAGAAATGATTAACATGAATATAAGATTAAATCAAGAAAGCAACTGACGTTCCTAAAAATAAGTACGTGTACCTTTTTGTTATAAAAAGTAGCAAAATAAAATACCTAAAAAAATTGAGATGCAAAGTACATAGTAATTTTGTCTAAAAATTTTAAGCAGAAACACAATATGCTGAATGTTAAATAATTGTGGGATCCTTGGTAATCTGAGTTTTCTTGCAGACATTTCAATACCAAACTGGATAACATCAGCAATGCTACTATAAGAATATTCTATAAGAAATAATTTTATTCTACATTCTATAAGAAATACTTTTATTTATCAATTAAAATACATTTTAGTTTGATTTATGAATTAGCTAAATCCCCACACAGAAATCTTTTAAAAGACAGGTGGATAGACCCATAGCATAATGTATTTTAAAACTACACGAGTGAGTTTTCTTTTTAACCAGAAACTATGGATATGTATGTCTTCGGAAAGATAGGGAGGAGAAAGAAAGAAAGGGAAACGCGAAGGGGGAAAGCACATTGTTATCTTCAGGCTCCCCCGCCCCCATGTTTGAAGAGGATCAAATGACATCAAAACTGAAAGATCTACATCTCGCAAATCCCGTTTTTTCTCTTTCCTTTCGGAGCGCCCAGTCCCGCCCGTCAGCTCCGCTCTCTTTTCGACTCCTCCGTTCGATTGGCTCGGTGCTCGTTCGCGACGGCTCCAGGCTCGACTTGCGAGGTGCTCGGCTAGGCGCACTGGCCTTGATAGTAACCCGGAGAGGCAACGACGAGAGAAAAGCTGCATTGGGAAGGAGAAGGCGGGGGAGATCGGCGCCGGATTTGGGGTCTTTCCCCCCCCCCCCCCCTCCCCCGAAATCAGATCCCGGCCACTTCGGTAGCCGTCGCGCCCCCCTTCTCCCCAAGGAAAAAACAACAGCAACGTCCGGCCGTTTTTGAGGGGCGTTTGAGTGCGCCGCCGGGCCTTGGTCGCTCCCTGCCCCAGGTAGGCTCCGGGCCTAGAGATTCTAGGCCTGCTTCCCCTCCTCCTGGGAGAAGCCAGAGTGGCGATTTTCGAGGGGATGGCGGGGAGGGTGGAGAAGGCCCATTGGGCGCCGGAGGTCGAGTCGCCTGGGCTACGAGGCGGTAAGGCCTAGCCTGGCGCCTTAACTCCTCCAGCCCGCCCACCTTGAGCACCCGTCCTTCGGTCGGGGAACCTACCCTCGCATTTCCCCCCCCCCCTTTTCCTCGGGCAGACTTTCAGGAATATCGGTGCCACGAATTGGTGGGGTGGGGGTGGCGAGACTCCCAGGGCCCACCCGCGGATATTTTCATGTGGGCCAGCCTCCCTTCGAGCGAAAGGCTTCTGTTGAAGAGGCAAAGCTTGCCTGGCTTTGTGTTGTTGTTTTTTTTGGGTTTTTTTGAGGCATCTTCTGGCATATTTTAATTCCCCACCCCCACCCCTTGGAGGTTTTTGGTTTTTTTTTTGGTTTGTTTTTAGCACACGTAAATACACGTACGTAATCTTTCCTCCTTCCTTCTGTTCTTTTCCTTTTCCTGCTTCTCTGTTCCTCTTTGAAAGCAAAGATGGATGATGGGGTTGTTGTTTTTGCTCTGGTTCCCGAAGAGGACAGGTAGTTTGGCCTGCTGCCTTCGCTAGAAAAATTCTCCCAGGCTTTCCCTGGTCTCTTTTATCAAGAAGTGGGTTTTTTTGTTTTTGTTTTAATAGAGAGCAAATAGATAACTCTGTGAATGTTTATTTGAATGAGAAAGCAAACAGTGAGACTTATAACCTGTGTCATGACAATTGCAGGGGAGATCGACTGTTCACCCATTAAAAGAAGGGTTGCTGCTCATTGTGAGACAATAAATGCAATCTCGCCCATCCCAGTCTCCCCAACATCATATGGTAAGTTACAATTATACCGATGCAGGTTCTTTTATATAAAAGGAAACCACATCCTCGTCTTTAATATCTATATTCCTGCCGGAATGTATATAAAGAAAACTTCTTAAAAAATGGATCTTTTTGGAACAGTTCTAAAATAAGCTCTCCCCCCCAACCATCGTTTTATGATGTAATAATATGTATGAGTTGCAAGGATCCCAGCACTACACCTCAATTGCAACCCCCCCCCAACCTCTCTCAATATGCTGCCAATAGAGAAACTCTTATTATTTTCCTACCAGTGTTTGTACTTTTAATAACACCAGTAAATCTAATAAAACAACCTTAAAGCATAAGGGTATGCTAATACTAACCCTCAAGCAAGGAAGCTTTAATTCTTCTGCTTCCAGGTACTTCACCCATTATTTATAAAATCCGTCAAAAATAAATGTTATGTACTTTGAAACATGGTATAAATAAGCCTGGGGTTCGTTCAATCTAGTCTTGTCTTCTCCTGGATATTATGTAATGTAACATAGCTTGGGGAATTCAGTGGTAGTGATAAAAGATGCAGTTTTTAATATTTTAGATAAACCAATAAAGTATTTGCAAGTATATTTTTGAACACTCATTCCAGGTAGCCTCCTCTCAACTTTGAATATGCAAACAAAGTAGTTGAGGAGCCTTGTGTTCTGTTCACCAAATAAGAAACAGACCTTTTTTTATAGAACTCTATCCAGTCTGGTATTTGGTACCAATATTAGAATATAATTCTTGTTATTTTCATGTTTTTCAAATGTGATTTTAAGGGGCACTGCAGTGGTTTAAGATACTGGGCTTGTTGGCTGGAAAGCTGACAGTCCAGGTTCGAGGTCTGAGTGCTGCGAGATAGGGTGAGCCCCTGTTCTTGCCCCAGCTCCTCACCTAGCATTTCCAAAGCAAGCAAATGTGATTAGATAAATAGGTACCACTTTAATCGGAAGCTAACAGTGCTCTGTGATGTCATCTGGCCATGGAAACATCTTCGAATAGCGCTGGCTCAATGGTTTCAAAACGTTGCCTATAGTCTGCAATAACTAGCAAAGTAAAATATTCAGGGATCCTTTACCTTTTTAAAAAAATGTTTGATTTTATGTTTCTGTTAGCCTACTTTTTAAAATCATCTTGAACAATCCCATATTCTCTTAAAATTTGGGGGGAAAACCATATCAATGTCAGTTTTGTAAACTTGACAGGTTTCATGGAACAGAATTCCCACAGAGCCATAGAACACACCCAATTAAATTTGCAATATAGTCTTCCAGTGGCATAGCAGGGAAAAGTTATATCCTAATATTGGTACTAACTACCAGACTAGATAGAGTTTTGTGAAAGAGGTTTTGTTCCATATTTGGCAAACAGAATTCAAAGTTGCTGTCAAACAATTTTGTATTTGAATATTGCAGAGTTGAGAGAAGAATACTTGGAAAGAGTGTTCAAAAATAAACTTGCAAATACTTTACTGACAATGTACAGTTTACTTTTATCTTCACTGAATTTCAATTTGTAATTAGTGCATACTTTTTAAAATTGAGTTAATTTAAATAACTTTTAGCTTCCCTAGTATTTAATTTAGGTTAGTTGTATATCATCTTGAGATTTCATTAAGATGTGGCCAGATGCTTAATCCCATTTAAATAATAATAATAATTTTGTATACTGTTTTTATCTTGTTTAAATATTGTTAGCTGCCCAGAATAATGTATTTGATATTTTAGTGGTAATTTTATTAAATGTTATTAAAAAGATAAAAGTTAATATAAGCTTAAAAAAAGAATAATAAAAAAATAAAAAGTGCAGAAAATAAAAGAAAATAGAAAACAGGGA